TCAACCTTAGACAAATATTAGTGTTTTCTTTTTTAAACTTTTTAAAAATTAAAAAGAAATAAAGCTTGGAAAGTTTTTGACAAAAGCATTTGCTGAATTCATGTTTATATGACTTTTATTTCACTTTTGATTTTGTACTGGTTGTTGTTAGTAAAAACAGATTTCATCATGAACAATGAACTTGCAGGAACCAAAAACCCCCCAACCTTTATAGGGTTAAAGAACTATGCGATAATAAATAACAGTTTACAAACAATTTCATGAAAAATATTAGACAATGCAGTCGAATAACTATCATACTGCTTTTTTATAAGTTTGAAGAAAGCTTAAAATTATACAGACTTACTGATATAAATAAGAATAAAGAATTTTCATCTATAAGATTAGTAATCATTTTTGGGTGTTTGAATTTTATAGGTACCCCATGCCGCATGCGGGAATGTTCTTAGCTTGGTTTAAAATTCTAAATTCAGTGGCTTCTATATTCTATTCTATTTGATTGTATATTTTATAACTGAGTCATGACCCTAGATTCCTGAGTCAAGTTGGGTGTTTAAATATATCTAGAACTGGGTCTACAAGGTCTAAGAGAAGAGAAAGTTTAAGATGTCTAATAAATTCCCTTGAGGAGTATATAATACACCACAAACAATCCTCAAGTCTCCAACAGACAAACAGCTTTCTATTTTTTAAATAGTTAAAATTTAATTTTGTTAGATGTGTGCATCTTTATATTTTTCTATCGCATGTTTTGCGCTCGGCAAATGTTCGGCCAGCTACCTGCAGACGGAAGTTTTTGAAAATAACAGAATAATCGGTTAACATACGGAGTATTTCAGATAATTAAAGGAAATCTCGGAAAACAAACTTAATTTTTTTAATAATTAACGAATAACTCGGGTAACAATCGCTAAAGTTTTTTAATGAATATGGGGAAACTCGTTTAACGAAAGACAAATTTTAAATAATTAAATGAAAACTAGATTAACTAATAATAGATTTTAAATAATTAAAGGAAAACTAGATTAACCAATGATATATTTTAAATAATTAAAGGAAAACTAGATTAACCAATAATATATTTTAAATAATTAAAGGCAAACTAGATTAACCAATGATATATTTTAAATAATTAAAGGCAAACTAGATTAACTATTAATATATTTTAAATAATTAAAGGAAAACTAGGTTAACCAATGATATATTTTAAATAATTAAAGGAAAACTAGGTTAACCAATGATATATTTTAAATAATTAAAGGAAAACTAGGTTAACCAATGATATATTTTAAATAATTAAAGGAAAACTAGGTTAACCAATGATATATTTTAAATAATTAAAGGAAAACTAGGTTAACCAATGATATATTTTAAATAATTAAAGGAAAACTAGGTTAACCAATGATATATTTTAAATAATTAAAGGAAAACTAGGTTAACCAATGATATATTTTAAATAATTAAAGGAAAACTAGGTTAACCAATGATATATTTTAAATAATTAAAGGAAAACTAGGTTAACCAATGATATATTTTAAATAATTAAAGGAAAACTAGGTTAACTAATAATATATTTTAAATAATTAAAGGAAAACTAGGTTAACCAATGATATATTTTAAATGATCAAAGGAAAACTAGGTTAACATTTGTCTTGACGGCAAATTCTAGATTTAACAGGTCTCCAATGAGAGGGGGTCTGCATGATAGTACTCCAATACTGATGAATTTTTTCGAGACTCTTATGAAAATAATAAATAATTATTTTTTGTCAAATCATATTCTCTTTCAGTTCGTTTCTTATTAACAATAAAATTGAATGTTGTATCTAAAAAGCAGCCCTAACTGCAGTTTAAGTAATTTGCCGCCAAACCAATAAGATGCAACGTCCGGCTATCAATGAAATATACTTAGTATTTGAATTCATGGTTATATTAAACATACATTATTAACGGCTGGCACGGTTAACAGCAAACTGCCAAGGTCTATGACTAACTTCAATTTTCAGATAATTAACGAAAATTTGGTATACAAAAAGAACATTTTAAATATTTAACGAAAACCTCGGATAACAACACTGAAATTTCAAATAATTAACGGATACTCAAGTAATGGACCTGAACAATTAACGAAATGCACGTTCAGTTTTTATCTAAAATCTAAATACTGGTTAGACAACCTGGTTGAAAAAGTACGTCAGACAACCTGGATGAAAAAGTACGTTAGACAACCTGAATGAAAAAGTACGTCAAACAACTGGATTAAAAAGTACGTCAAACAACCTGGATGAAAAAGTACCTCAAACAACCTGGATGAAAAAGTACGTCAGACCACCTGGATGAAAAAGTACGTCAGACAACCTGGATGAAAAATTACGTCAGACAACCTGGATGAAAAAGTACGTCAGACAACCTGGATGAAAAAGTACGTCAGACAACCTGGATGAAAAAGTATGTCAGACAACCTGGATGAAAAAGTACAAATGTCCCCAGTCCTACATGTCTGTGCGTGTGTCCGCTTGTCTAAATTAAACACTAAATTAACTGGTTAGACAACCTGGTTGAAAAAGTACGTCAGACAACCTGGATGAAAAAGTACGTTAGACAACCTGGATGAAAAAGTACGTCAGACAACCTGGATGAAAAAGTACGTCAGACAACCTGGATGAAAAAGTACTTCAGACAACCTGGATGAAAAAGTATGTCAGACAACTTGGATGAAAAAGTACAAATGTCCCCAGTCCTACATGTCTGTGCGTGTGTCCGCTTGTCTAAATTAAACACTAAATTCAAACTGACAATTTGAAAACAAAACTTAATAAACTAAAAGTAGCTGGACCGGAACTTCATGTCAACCTTAGACAAATATTAGTGTTTTCTTTTTTAAACTTTTTAAAAATTAAAAAGAAATAAAGCTTGGAAAGTTTTTGACAAAAGCATTTGCTGAATTCATGTTTATATGACTTTTATTTCACTTTTGATTTTGTACTGGTTGTTGTTAGTAAAAACAGATTTCATCATGAACAATGAACTTGCAGGAACCAAAAACCCCCCAACCTTTATAGGGTTAAAGAACTATGCGATAATAAATAACAGTTTACAAACAATTTCATGAAAAATATTAGACAATGCAGTCGAATAACTATCATACTGCTTTTTTATAAGTTTGAAGAAAGCTTAAAATTATACAGACTTACTGATATAAATAAGAATAAAGAATTTTCATCTATAAGATTAGTAATCATTTTTGGGTGTTTGAATTTTATAGGTACCCCATGCCGCATGCGGGAATGTTCTTAGCTTGGTTTAAAATTCTAAATTCAGTGGGTAGACTTTACAGGCAAAACTGGGTTCCCAATCTAGCTAGGATGCATATTTTACGGATGAATTAAAATGTTTAATACAATAATGTCTTCTGGATTACACGCATACTTGGTGCTGCAGGATTAATTAGACGGAAAAATACTTAAAGAAACTTAAAGAATGTTTTCATTTTAGAAATTCTAGAAATTTCAAGATACCAACTGTCACATGGGCCACCAAGCCTTAGACAAGAAAAGTAGAAAAAGAAAAGAAATATAAAGAATTAAGAATGAAAGTTTACTAAATCTTTATTTTAAACATTTATTTTTACATATTTACTTTTTCCAGTCAACATCATTATCAGTGGTTATTTAAAAATTCATGAAAAAAAAAACAATTTTAATATTTTAATGAGAATCGGAGAACTCTTTTTTCACATTAAAACACAAAAGAAAAGCAGCAGGCACAAAATTAGCCCAAAAAATTTTAAGATTCATTAGAAAACATTTCTATTTAAATAAGAATAAAATTAAACTAAAAGAAATCCTTAGAAAAAAAGGCTCAATCATCTTTTAAGCGAAAAAGGAAAAATACTGTGTTTTTGATTTTATTTTTATTAAAGGTGGATGTTTTGACATGATAATGGAACCTTGATAATGAAATATAATTTATTTTCTCTTGTTGTTAGAATTTAAAAAACGAATAGCTTGTTTTTTTCGGGGAGGGACAGAGTTTGATAGAAACACCTTTATTTTAATAAAGTGCAGACTTTATTTATAAGGAATAAGAAAACAGAATTTTTCTTTTGACTGTTTTGATTTCATAACATACTGTTTTTTCGTCAAACACAAAAAATATGAAACAAAAGATATTTTGGACAAATATATATTACCCCCCCTTGCATTTAGGCCAGCCCATTTCCTTTCATTTTTCATGAACAATTTTCAGATTTAACTTTTAAAAAGTAGAGATTAAATCAGAAAAGTCAGGCAACATGAGCTCGCAAAAGAAAGTGTCCAAAAGTAGCATCCCAAACAACACTACCCCCCTCCCAATTGATATTTTTCCATGTTTTTGTAAATTACTTTAGAATATTTCTAATTGATAATTCCATCAAATATTTTGTTTTCAGAAAACCTTTATACAGTCAATTAAACAACTCGAGTAATTATTTCAGATTTACATTTACGTTAATTCTTGTTAATTTCATTTGAATATTCATACTCATGCACAGATTAGGAGTAAAAGAAAACAAAATTTATAATTGAATTCATTAGAGGGCTTAGAATTGTAAAAGTCCGTATTTAGAAAAATAAACACATCGTCCAATATTATACAGACAGTATCATCTTTAGGAAGAATTATAATATAGTATAAGGCTTAAAAAACCGCCAAAAAAATCATCAAAAATAGACTAAAATTGGTTCAATCAATTTTAGATTGGGAAATTTTAATATCTGCAAATAATTTTGACACTTTGTGAGGAGTCTGATCAAATCCCTAGAAAACCAACCAAATGCTTTATTCTTGTGCAATATAATTAAGATTTTTTAAAAAGGACTATTTGCTTTTGAAAAGATATTGTTCATCCGATTTATAGAAGCATTAGGTTTTTGACAATGGAGTATAAGAGTAACACATCAATTCTAAAATCTTAATTTTAATCTTAATAAGGTAAGTAGAAAAATGTCCAATCTACTTATTGGACTTATTGGACTGATTGGTTTTGCACAGCATGCTTTTACTTTGTTAAAGTAGGTCTGCAGAGCTAGCCACTACTGATGAAACTGTAATGACGACCTTAAAAATACCTGAAAGCATCTTTTAGTTCTCTCTTCATTGTCTCGATATCTGGATCTTCAACCAGAAATGTGGCGCACAGCTAAATATTTATTTATCAAATAGACAGCGGGGTAATTTTAAGTAAATTGGCTGATTCACAATATTATCCTTTAATTCTTTCAGACAATTGAACACAGAATTTTCTGAAGAAGTTTCAGCGTTTCAGGAGTCGAGAGAGCAACCCGTCTAAATTCATGAAACAAAACTGTTTTAACAATTTAAGCCTAAGGAATATGTTGCGGGGAAAAATATTGCTTAACATCCTTCTTAAAAATGATTTATCATATTTACGTTAAAAAGGTTTTACAATATTTGACAATTCAAATATTTTATATTTTATATCAGTGGGTTTTCACGATCTATTAATGTCAAGAAGAGAAATCTGAAAAAGAGAAAAGATTGCTGAAACCTAGTATTGTTTAGTTAGAAAATACTGTCAGGTTATTTTACTCGTTAAATCGTTTCAATATTGAAATCCAATCCAGGTTTGGGTTACACGGTGGTAGGTGATTATACCAATATAATGAAGACGACTTTCGATTTAAATTTTGATTCATATCATGCTTTAATTGGCAGAGAAGGTCGTTAAATTGCTTTTATCCTTTTGTGCGGGAAGATTAAGATTACCCACCTGGCAAAATTCTCCAAATTCAATTTCTCCTGAACCGTCCTCATCAATCTCCTCCAGAAGTTCCTGGAGTTCCTCCTTGCTGGGACGGAATCCCATAGCACGCATAATTTCGTCCAGGTCGTCAGCTGATAGAAACTCTTGCTTTTTTGTGTCAAATAGATCAAAACAAACCTAAAATAAAAATAGTTAAACAATTATGGTCGATTTCTTAACATTAAAGGAATAAATGTTTTTTTTTAGCATAATTGCTTCTTCATTTTTTTGTTTTTAACTTTGCCAGAGGTTAAGCCTGTTCTACGCCGACTACGCGTAACTACTTTGGGATTCTTCCTCAGGATTACTGTAAACGAAACGCACATTAATCTTGAAAAGACGATATCTAGTGTCCTATCTGTTATTTTTATTAATCTATGTGAAAGATGAACTACAGTTAGAGTAACCCGACTTAAAATACAAACTGAAAAAAATTGTCTAACATTCAGAAATCTGTATTTTCATGAAATTGTCTCAGTATGATTCTGCTTCTTAGGTTTTTATTCGGCAGTATTTATTTAAATTTTTTGTCTTTCAATACTTGATTTTCAGGAATTTGTCAAGATATTGGCATAAAATCTAAATGTAGTTCGTTTTGATTTATTTTTCAAACTTTTGGAATTTGTTCTTATTTAACATTCAAATCCACATGTGTTTTCAACATTTACGTTGAAAAGATAATTAATCAGGCGAATTCACCTCAACATTATCTAGATTTTCAAAAACGGTAAAATTACTGAAATGGGTCTAAATAGAGATTTTTTGCATTTTGGGCTCATGAAGAGCCTGAAGAAGAGACATTGGGTAGTAAAAGTTATAACTGCTCTAGATCAGTATATATTTTTGAGATATATCCAAAAACCCAGGAAGGAGGGGGAGAGAACCTTCCCTCAATAGAAATAGGGTTATTACATCGGCCTCTAGAACTACACCATACCTTCAGGCACTTGATTTCATCCATGGCTAAACCAGTTGCCTCAGTGACATCATCAAAATCAATATCTGCGTACGGATCTGCTCTGGCCATGTCTGAAACAGAAAATACACTATCATACCTAACCTTTCTATTTATTGGTGGATATTATGTAAACTCTCTTTGCTCCCTTATTGGTCGGCATATCCAAGTGGTTTTCAGGGTACAAGAAGAATTATCTTACATTTTGATACTTCTGATGAAATCTTCCAAAATGATTCAATGCTAGACTTTTTAAATTGTTTTAAATCGCAATAATGGTTATTCAATTGTATAAATAACAGTTTAAATTCAATACTTTTACAAATTCATCGTTTTGTTGTTAAGATTTAATTTGTATTGTTCTTATTTATAGTAAATAAAATGCCTTGCTACCAGTGCATAATCTATCTTTTCGCTCAAATTTACAATGGGTGATCCAACTGTCCTACCTTTATAGTGCGGGATCTACTTTATTTTTCTAATTTACATTGCGTGATCTACTTTATTGTTATAATTTACAGTGCGTGATATAATTCAATATTTTTATTAAAGTGTTCAATTTGACTTATTGTCCTAATTGTAGTGCGTTATCTACTTTATTGTTATAATTCAAAGTGCGTGATATATTTCATTCTTTTAATTTACAGTGTTCAATTTGACTTATTGTCCTAATTGTTAGTGCGTGATCTACTTTATTGTTCTAATTTACAGTGCGTGATATATTTCATTCTTTTAATTTACAGTGTTCAATTTGACTTCTTGTCCTAATTGTCAGTGCGTGATCTACGTTATTGTTTTAATTTACAGTGCGTGACATATTTTATTTTTAATTTTTAGTGCGGGATTTACCTTATTGTTCTAATTTACAGTGCGTAATCAACCTCACTGTTCTAATATAGTGGGTGATCTACCTAATTGTTATAATTTACAGTGCATGATCTACCTCATTGTGCAAATTTACAGTGCGTGATCTACCTTATTGTTCAAATCTGCAGTTTGTGATAAACTTTATTGTTCTAATTTACAGTGCGTGATATACCTTATTGTTGTGTGTGTGAATGAGACCTACTACGGACTGAGGGGTTATTTCCCTATCTCTTTATCGGGTCAGGTCAGGAGCTCCGACCGGCAGCAATTCTATCTTTCTATCCNGTGTGTGTGAATGAGACCTGCTACGGACTGAGGGGTTATTTCCCTATCTCTTTATCGGGTCAGGTCAGGAGCTCCGACCGGCAGCAATTCTATCTATCTATCTATCTATCTATCTATCATATCTAGCTGTGTGTGGGAGGAAAGGAAAATAATAGTAAGATTTGCAATTGTTCGGAAACCCTATACTTAGGGTAAATTTTATCTGAGGCCGAATTTAAAGAATTTGAGCCGCGGCTTAAATTTAAGCCACGGCTCAAATATGATTGGTTTCACTTTAAATTGTTTTTAAATTTTCAAGATTTAGGCCGCAGCTCAATAAAAACCGGTTTTGGGGGGATTTGAGATTCATTAAATTCGGACACAGTTTATGGAAAATCCGGTTTTTCGATATTTTTTTAATTTATTTTTTCTACAAATAAATATTGTTAGATATTTTTAAATTCTGATTTTTGTGAAAATTTTACGTAGCAAATTCGGCTTTAAAATGAGCAATCAAATTTTGACACCTATGTGAGTATGTTTCACTTGAAATCCCCATTGAATAAACTTTCAGACGTTAAGCTTGTGCCGCCCTAAGTTTGACGTTGCAGCTCTTTACTGTATTCTCTGTATTCCATGGACCCCTTTATATTACCTGTATACCCTTATCCCTTGCAATCCTTTGTATTTCTTGTATATCCTGTATCCTTTGTATCCCTTGTATATCCTGTATCTGGTAGTTCTAAATTAGATAAAGAAAGCTTGATGCAAGATATCTATTATTATACTTAAGCCCTCACCCTCGCTCTCATATACAAGATAATCATATATATTAGAACAAGACATTCATATCTATGTTGCGTATTGCCGGCCAAACGGCTGACTTTTTTTGTGGACACTCATGGAGGTGTTATAGGCTAAAAAATCGAATTTTTTTCAAATCAAAATATAGTAAATATTAGAAATTGTTGTTTGTCTTTTTTTTCCTGGTAATGATGAAATCTTTTGAGATAAGGGACCACGCCTTTGTCACAAGTTCAGATTTTCTAATCCACATAGTATTCGCAACCTGATGGTGGTTAACTACGATTAATCAATCTATCAGAATTCATAGTTTGAAATATCTAAGGTCTTCGAAATTTGGTTGTCAAGATATAGGAATTAGAAAAACAATGTAAGCCAATTATTTGCCTTTTTAAAGTAAACAGTTCTTCGGTAATAATTTGAATGCAGATTCCCACTCTAAATTGTTGCGGATTTTTTGTTATATCTCATCATTCAATNGTAGTACATTTGAATTTCCGAGCCGGGTCAACCTTTCCGGTCCCGGTTTGTACTGTATCACCCGGACATTAGGTAAATGAAGCAGACACAATTAATAGGACTAGCTGGTGCAACAAGGTTGACGCGGTCAGACTTTAGTTTGATTCTACTTTTAATAAAGGGTCAGAGGTGCGTAATTATTGTTATTAAATCAGTATGCCACTTCCTGCATTTACGTCTGCAGTCTATATATTATTTCTTCTGGATTTTTTATTTAAATGCCAAATCTTGTTTGTTTTTTCTTTAAGGCACTTCTTGTTTTCACGAGAAAACCCACCTTTCTTTACCCCCAACATGAACTGAACACAACTATAGTATTTCCTATACCATATATATTTGCAACCTGCTGGCGTAGTCCTTTGACAAACTAAGAATCTTGCTAGTTCCAATACCTAGGTTCAAAGTATTGAAGATTTACACCATCAGAGGTTGAAAAAATATTGGGATCACCATAGTTTGAGTAGAAGTAAATATTTCCATTTACTGATAGCGCTGATATAAGGTTTCATCTCTCTAATTGCTCTAATTGGATAATGATAAAAATAGATGTTGCCGTCATTCTATTTCTATTGGTTTAGAATAGACACCAAACACATGGCTGAACCCTGATTGGATCAGGCGCCAATGGACCGGCATGTGTCCTCTAGCCTTGTTATTTCGTTTAGTAAGGTTGAGTAATAGGCTATATGTGCTAAACCTGTTATACAGGGTTACCCACAAAGGATGGGACTTCAGCGACGACCTCACCAAAAAAAAAATTGATTTCTTTGGAGATTAAAGATTTTTTCGAATTTTTATATATTTTTTGAAAACAAAACAATACAAATTTTCAAAACAATTTCATTTAAAAAAATTGGTATCGCAGATTTTTATTTCAATATTTCAAAAATATTTGGAATTTTTTTTTCACATTTCATTTTTTTATGCCTAAAATCTGAAGAAAATAAAATTGCAAAAAACGTTTTCAAAAACAACAATAATCCCGTTTTTTTCGATTCACCCTGGATGTTTTGCAGAAATACTTAAATTATCCTTGAAATTTTCAAATTATATGAATTTTAGGTATTCATTAAAGTCTCATCATTTGTTGGTAATTCTTTATATTTTACTAAAATTTTTTTTTTTGGAAAAAATAATGGATTAATTTATAATGTTTCAAAGTTCCAAGCTATTTGTAGTAGACACCAAATCATTATCTGGTCTATATATTCCATAAAGGGAGTGACCGGCAATCTATGGTAGTTAAGGCAGTAGAAATTTTGTAACTTTTCCTAAATACCCATACTTTTTCCTGTTACAAACTAAATTTTTATTTTGACCCTCTCTCAAGCATATTCTGGTTTTTAAGTACCCCAGCAGGGATAAGGTTAAAACGTTTTATATGTCTCAAATGAATCCTAAAAAATTTCTCCACAATACTATATTCTCCGTTCAACTACAATGCCGTTCACTCCCTTTAAACAAGTTTAAACCTAACACCTCTGCAAAATACCTAAACATATGTCCCAGTATACATTAAACATTCGATTTTATAGCAGATCACATCTAGTTATTATGTATTAAACACAACGTTAATATACAAACTAAGTTCATTTTTTGGCAACATTTTAAAATAATTTATTTTTTCAATTTCTGTTGAAATAACAAAAGTGGCAAATTAGCTATTTGATTTACTGAAATCTTATTATTAAAATATGAAACTTAATAAAGTTTTCTCTTAAAATTATAAGTCTGCAATCAAATTCACTTTTTCTTAAATCTATTCATTTCTTTTTAACCAGTTTTTGCCATGAATTATATTTGATTAATTTTGGAAATGACTCGCAAAAAAATCCTAATCCGTTTCAAAAAAGCGTTTTAGGGTTTATAGAGAATACATTTTCTGTTTCGTAAGTTCCTGTAAAGTTCAATTTGAATTAACAAAAAGTTAGGAATTGCGTATTGTCAGACGACAAAAGAAATTTCATATGTTGAATAAAAAAGTCATTAGTAGAAAATGAGTTTTTAAGAATCATTCCTATCTACGAATATATAAAAAGTCATTAGTAACAAATGAGTTTTCAAGAATCATTCCTTTCTATCGAATATATAAAAAGTCATTAGTAGCAAATGCGTTTTTAAGAATCATTTCTTTCTATCGAATACATAAAAAGTCATTAGATGCAAATGAGTTTTCCAAAATCATTTCTTTCTATCAAATATCTATATATATGTAAGGGTGTTTGTATCCAATAAACCTCAAAACGGCTGAACATTTGAGAATGATTTAAAATGGTGATCTTCAGAGCAAGAAATTAAAAGCCCTAAAAGGTCTAGGCTAACCTATATCTGTACAAATCACTCACCAGCACCGTGGAGTGATTTTTAGACTTGAAAGTTATATTTATGATCGCATTTTGTCTGAAAAGGATTGTCATTATGATGATGGAATTACAAAACTAGATTGAACAAGTACCTTTAAGAAAATTTGACGGAAAACCATTTTATTTAAAGATACTGCATATATGTCATGTTTTCAACATATACAATGTACTTTAAAGGAGGTTTTTATGGCCGCTAGGCGTCTCTACTCTCGATGCTTCTGGAATTCTACATTGAAGAGACGCCAACGACACCTAGTGACAAAAAAATCGTTGTTTAAAGTGCATCTTATATGAAAAAAGTAAAAAATATTATGAAATATCAACTATATACAGATGCGTCAAAAAAATATCAATGATTATAGGTTGTATAATATCTGATATAATATAAAATATATATATTATATTTGTTATGAATTAAATTGATTTTTACAATCTGATTCAAATTTTTCAACTTTCTGAATTTGCATGGACACGCTAAGATCTTTCTCCTTATAGACAGATAGAAGTAAGATTATTAGCGATCACCATCGATAATTTTTCGCCGTAAGCCTATACCCCCTTCCATTTTTCGCGAACACTCCCTTTAAAAAAAGAAAAAGGATATCACTTGATTTAGTTTTCAATAATTACTGCCAGGTTTGAATAATGAAGAATGAAAAATTATCGTTCGTGATCTTTTAGCCGCCGAGGAATTGCAAAAAAGTAAAAATATTCTGGATCAAGAACGTGACAGTCCTGCCTGGGCTATAGTTTAATGTAAACAATCTTTCATCATAATACTAAATTAATATTAGATTTACTTGAGATTTTGGTAAAATTCCTAACAGTTAGGAATATTTTTTTTGGACAAACATTGATACCCATATAGTTGTGGAATAGGAACACGTCTTTTAAACGTAAGAGTCAAGAAATTATTAACAATAAAAATTTAAAAAGAATAATATGCTTTGATTTTGTCTTTTAAAACTTATAGTTGCAATCCTCAAAATCAGTAAATTCTTACAACATCAGCAATTGAGTCTTATACTACTAACTCAAATTGTCTAATCCCTATATTTATATGTTCCCTAATTGTGTAAACCTTTGATACTTCAAAATTCTATTATTTAATATAACAGAATTTACAGTTTGCAATATCTAAGGTCTACGACATTGTTCTGCAAAGGTATTGGCATCATGAAATCAGAGTTTGAGACCAAGAATCAATTTGTTTGCCATAAACCGACATTTTTTTTCAAGTTCTGAGCTTGTGCTATTTTGCAAAGGGATTCGACTAATTTCTCAGTCAGTTCAACAAGAGAAGGCGTTTTTTACCCATAGCACTTCATATAAAAACTAACCTGGAAACCCAGCTTTTCCGGGAAACTATACCTTCTTTAGAAAAATTAACCCAATAAACTTAAAAATTGTAAACCACACTAAAGAACGTTTATCGTGGTTCTACGGAGTTCCCTAATCAAAATTTGAGGCAAATCGGTCAAAGGGTTTATGATATATTATTGGACAATAGACATCCAAACACTGATTACTTCTTTTATATGTATAGATTCTAAACTTGTGCCATTTTTTTCATTTTGTCATAAATAGAGATTTCTGTATCATTGTCCAAATTCCCAAACATTTTGGGGTACAACACATTTTCGATTTGGTCCAGTTTCATTTGTTTTCAGTATCCGGTTGATAAATAGCTTTCTATGAAATGGCAAAAAAATTAACAATTCTTCTTTTTTCGGTTCATTTATTTCTACTATTATTTAGTCTGGTGTTTATCCTTGCAGCTGGAGGTATTTAAAGACAATTAAAAGAATTTGAAATTGCTCTCCTAGCGCCCTGTTTTAGAGGGTTATACGTGAACCAAGGGATGAAATAATTCAATTGTTCAAAACTGGGCCAGTTTTCACACGTAAGCAAACAATTTTGCATTTTTAAAACTAAAAAAGATCAAACAAATACAAAACATGAAAAAGGTTAATGAACAATACAATATGATGGGTCAAAGAGTAAAAATTTAATTTTGCAGATTCTTCTACCCTAACTTTAAATCAATATAGAGATTTTAAAAAATAACATGATCTTAATTTTTTAACCAAAAATTTGAAGAGAAAAAAATGTAAAGATATAATTTGAAAAAAATTATTTGAATTTAATAATTGAATATTTACTAAAATATCCCGAATGCAGAATGTAGAATATAATTACCCCTGCAAACCGACACAAACGACTATACGGAATACATTTGATTTTTACTTTGGAGCAAGAAATCTTTGAAATCTCAAATTCCCGGATTTTCTACTTTTCCCTTTCTTTCCAACTAAATCTGTCTTCTCATCTGTCTATTCACATGAGAGGGGGGTCCGGGTGTATAGTAGGAGGGTGAGGGGGGCATTTTCACAATACGCCAATTAACAATAACTCTTTAAGGAAGGCAAAATTATATGATTTATTTTAATTTTCATTAAAAAAATTAATTTTGAAAAACAGATGGAATTAACAGCTCAGTACTTATATTGTCACCAAATTGTCTCTTTTAATTTTGCAATGTCTAGTTAATTCAGAATTAGTAATAGATAAGAAAGAATATAAATTGTTATCTACAACTATAAAAAGTTCAGTGTCATCCCACAAAATTCATTCAGTTTTCAGCTAGAATATATTTGATTCTTTTTCGAGCTATTTCTGTAAAATGTAGAAGTGAAAGTTATTAAAGGAGTGCTTACTGCTTATGCTTTGCACCCTTTTTAATTATATCCTAGGTGGTCAATTTCTTCATGTTTAACCCTAATGGCTGGGGGCCTGAATATAATCNTAAATAAACTTTATAAAATGAATTTGGTGAATAAAAACATCATTTGATTTATAGTCATAACGGAAAATTATCGTTTGTAAAGTGAAAGGCATAGGTTCTATGTGAAATTATTATTGGTCAATTATGATAGCAGCCTATTTCATAATTTGGTTTTCTTTTAATATTAATTTCAGATTTTCTATAAAATGATGTTCCAGGGCCCAATTGGTTATATAGCACAAATATGTGAAGTACACCTGTAGTATGGAAACAGTACAACAAAATGACCGTTTTACACTTTTTTCTAGTAAATTCCACTCTAATATATATTCTATTCTCTTATGCAATTAATGCACTTTTGTACTGTACACATGACTAACAACAAAATCAACCTGTTCCAAGAAATTATATTTATGATTATACATTTTCAGAATAATATGAAGAAAGCAGAACTTAGGTAAGTAATATTAGTTTTCTCAAATTCTCGACAATTTGCAATATTATAATTGAACAAATTGGCATTTTTAGTATTTACCCCCCAAAGTTCAAATCTACTCCATTTTGTTTTTGAGTGTGTAAATTCCAACGAGTGATGATATACGCTAATCCACAACTCCTTTATCGTGAGAAGGATTCCATTTTCACAGGAATACCTACATTTACAGTCTTTTACAGAGCAATATTTCATCGTTAATAAACTGTTCTGAGAAAATTAGTACAATTCAAGATATAAATCCTCCCCCTACAATTTTGATCCGAAAGCGTACTGCATATTTTATGTTTGTACTGTATGAATAGGCCATAATCTCTTAATATCTTTTATCAGTAAATTATCCCAAGTGTACACTCAGGCCAATACACACGGAGAGGTAGCTAAGATCCAGCCCCCTGGTAAATTCATGATTTATAGCAAAATAAAAGTTTGAGTTTGCGACCTCGTAACTCCTCCAGTTCCGATTTTACATACAGTAATAACCAGAAAACAATGTTAGGAAGACGGCATTATAACAGTAATTAAGTGTATTTGATGTTGTTACAAGACACATTGTCTGGTTTGCCACCTATTAGATAACTAATTTAGTGAGATAAGTCTGTTTTTAGTGTTTACACTGATTAATTGCTGTGTTTCATACTTAATTCTTAACCCTGTAGTTTTTTTTATATAACTCAAAAAGTATTGGTCTGAGGCTGTTGAAATTTTCTGACTTTTCTTACATACCCACAGCCCTCCCTTTAGGCCTAAAACCGGGCTTTAATACTAACTGCCTGAGTCCTCAGGCACACTGCCTGAATGACTGCTTTTGCCNTTTCTAATTTACCCATGCCCCTCACTTAAGGCTAAAAGCTCGGCTTTTATATACATACTGCCTTAGTCCTCAGGCATATCTGCCTAAATGCCTTGTTTTACCTATACCAGCCTAAATCTATATTAAGACCTATTTCCATTCATTGAATTTCACAATTTGCACATTTTAAGTTTTTATTAAATATTCATTATCTAGATGATAAATGTTTTAAAGCAGGGTACATGAAAATAAACAAAAAATATAACAAGGAAGTTTTGGCACAACTTCTTATTAAAGAGAGAAATAATTAAACGAGTGAGCTAAGCTGCGTTTTTAATCAGAAATCCACACGAGGCATTTGACATTTGGTTAATAGTCCCTTTAAGCGTTGAATTATGAATTCTCTTTAGTATCACAATAGTTGAAGTTGTAAAGGAGTTAGGGGTTTCACCATCTCAGGTCTCAAGGATTAAAAACAAAACAAAAAACAACAAAACAAGTTGATGTCAACTCGCAAAATAAATAAAACTTTCACAACATTTCTGTATCTCCCTCGGATGATAGATTAATTTTTGTTGTTATTATCTCTTGAAATTCTATAAGGAATCTTTTGCTTATATTTCTGCAGAAGCTGTAAATATCAAAAGAAACAAAGAAACAATAAATCAAAATAATGTCGCCAATTTTCACCTACTTTAGTTTCAAACAACATCTTCATTTGAAATCTTACCAAGTCTTTTTACAAAACAAAGTAGATATTGAACAAATTTTATTTTTATTTTTGTATCGTTGAGGCTGGAGGAATACCGTCCATCACTAACTTTTGCTTTCTCTCATCTTCACCCTTCGCCAGCATGCTCTGTTTCAAGTTCTCATTTAGGAAGGTGGCAGCTGCAGGGGCTACATTGTCAGGTAAACATGTTGCAGGGGCTAAACTGTCTGTTAAACATGTCGCAGGGGCTACATTATCAGGTAAACATGTTGCAGGAGCTACACTGTCTGTTAAACATGTTGCATGGACTATACAATGTGGTAAACATGTTGCAGGGGCTACACTGTCTGTTAAACATGTTGCATGGACTATACAATGTCAGGTAAACATGTTGCAGGGGCTACACTGTCAAGTAAACATGTTGCAGGGGCTACACTGTCTGTTAAACATGTTCCAGGGGCTACATTGTCAGGTAAACATGTTGCAGGGGCTAAACTGTCAGGTGAACATGTTGCAGATGCTACACTGTCAGGTATACATGTTGCAGGGGCTACACTGTCAGGTAAGCATGTTGCAGGGGCTAGATTGTCAGGTAAACATGTTTCAGTGGTTACACTGTCAGGTAAACATGTTGCAGGGGCTACACTGTCTATTAAACATGTTGCAGGGGCTAGATTGTCAGGTAAACATTTTGCAGGGGCTACACTGTCAGGTAAACAAGTTGCAGGGGCTACACTGTCTGTTAAACATGTCCCAGGGGCTTGATTGTCAGGTAAACATGTTGCAGGGGATACACTGTCAGGTAAACATGTTGCAGGGGCTACACTGTCAGGTAAAAATGTTGCAGGGGCTACAATGTCAAGTAAAAATGTTGCTGGGGCTACACTGTCAGGTAAACATGTTGCAGGGGGTACACTGTCAGGTAACATGTTGCGGGGGCTACACTATCTTTTAAACATGTTACAGGGGCTACACTGTCTGTTAAACATGTTGCAGGGGTTAGATTGTCAGGTAAGCATGTTGCAGGAGCTACACAGTCAAGTAAACATGTTGCAGGGGCTACACTGTCAGTTAAACATGTTGCAGGGGCTACACTGTCAGGTAAACATGTTGCAGGGGCTGCACTGTCTGTTAAACATGTTGCAGGGGCTAGATTGTCAGGTAAACATGTTGCAGGGGCTACACTGTCAGGTAAGCATGTTGCAGGGGCTACACTGTCAGGTAAACATGTTGCAGGGGCTACACTGTCAGGTAAACATGTTGCAGGGGCTGCACTGTCAAGTAAACATGTTGCAGGGGCTACACTGTCAGGTAAAAATGTTGCAGGGGCTGCACTGTCAGGTAAACATGTTGCAGGGGCTACACTGTCAGGTAAACATGTTCCAAGGGCTACACTGTCAAGTAAACATGTTACAGGGGCTACACTGTCAGGTAAACATTTTGCAGGGGCTACACTGTCAGGTAAACATGTTGCAGGGGCTAAACTGTCTGTTAAACATGTTGCAGGGGCTAGATTGTCAGGTAAACATGTTACAGGGGCTACACTGTCAGGTAAACATGTTGCGGGGGCTACACTGTCAGGTAAACATGTTGCGGGGGTTACACTGTCAACTAAACATGTTGCAGGGGCTACACTGTCAGGTAAACATGTTGCAGGGGCTACACTGTCAGGTAAACATGTTGCAGGGGCTACACTGTCTGTTAAACATTTTGCAGGGGCTAGATTTTCAAATAAACATTTTTCAGGGGCTACACTGTCAAGTAAACATGTTGCAGGGGTTACACGGTCTGTTAAACATGTTGCAGGGGCTTGATTGTCAGGTAAACATGTTACTGAGGCTACACTGTCTGTTAAACATGTTGCAGGGGCTTTATTGTCAGGTAAACATGTTGCAGGGGCTACATTGTCAGGTAAGCATGTTACAGGGGCTACACTGTCAGGTAAACATGTTGCAAGGGCTACACTGTCAGTGTTAGAGTCGGCACACGCTAAAAAGCTCACTGTATGTAAATGAAATATAGAGTTTTATTTTCTTTATTCACACTCTTTCTATCCACATATTCAGCTTCAGAACGTACTAGTATAAGTAGTTGATAAAATAACTAGAAACAATAAGAATAAAAAGTTTAAGACAGTAAATTCTAAATAACCATTTGTTGTTAACATCAATAGACTCAATAGTTATTTGGTTAAATCATAATCAATAATTTATCAACTCTTAGACCTAATAGTTCAGATAATACGAGTTACTTCAAAGCGAGCCTTGCCAGGACTAAGGCGTAAAGTAACTCAAATAAATCTTTACTTAAAAAGGAATACTATATGTGTAGGAAAAAAAATCCCTACATAAACATAATTCTTCTTGTACCATGAATACATTCTACTGTACTTGGAAAGAATTTTTACCCCTGGCTGACAGGTATATCTCTGAAACCTTGTCTAGTCTAACCAAGAATGCAATACAGGTTGCTTCAAAAATATTAAAATCTCTTCTGCATATGCAAAGTCCAAACAGTCAGGTAAACATGTTGCAGGGGCCACACTGTCAAGTAAACATGTTGCAGGGGCTACACTGTCAGGTAAACATGTTGCAGGGGCTACACTGTCAAGTAAACATGTTGCAGGGGCTACACTGTCAGGTAAACATGTTGCAGGGGCTACACTGTCAGGTAAACATGTCGCAGGGGCTACACTGTCAGGTAACATGTTCCAAGGGCTACACTGTCAAGTAAACATGTTACAGGGGCTACACTGTCAGGTAAACATTTTGCAGGGGCTACACTGTCAGTTTAACATGTTGCAGGGGCTACACTGTCAGGTAAACATGTTGCAGGGGTTAGATTGTCAGGTAAACATGTTGCAGGGGCTACACTGTCTGTTAAACATGTTGCAGGGGTTAGATTGTCAGGTAAACATGTTGCAGGGGTTAGATTGTCAGGTAAACATGTTGCAGGGGCTACACTGTCAGGTAAACATGTTGCAGGGGCTACACTGTCAGGTAAACATGTTGCAGGGGCTACACTGTCAGGTAAACATGTTGCAGGGGCTACACTGTCAGGTAAACATGTTGCAGGGGCTACACTGTCAGGTAAACATGTTGCAGGGGCTACACTGTCAGGTAAACATGTTGCAGGGGCTACACTGTCAGGTAAACATGTTGCAGGGGCTACACTGTCAGGTAAACATGTTGCAGGGGCTACACTGTCAGGTAAACATGTTGCAGGGGCTACACTGTCAGGTAAACATGTTGCAGGNAAAATGGCATGGTCAAGGGCTTTTCAAAAATGTATAATTTTTTCATTTTTGGGACAAATTTTTTTTTGCAAGCATTTTTACTATATGACTGGATTTTGCGATAACACTCTGCCTGCGACTGCAAAGAAAATAAGAATTATTAGAAACTATGAAATAAAAATTATTCCCATCTTTAAAGCGGACAAAAAATATGAGTTTAATAATAACAGACCTATAAGTATTCTTCCAGATTTGAGTAAGCTACTTGAAAAAATTGCTGCAATACAAATGTTTAGATATCTTAAAAAGTTTAACATCTTTTACGAGCACTAATATGGATTCAGACCTAAACATAACACAAATCAACCACTTTTGCACTTAATGAATAAAATGAATCTAAACCAGAATTTACTCTTGGACTATTCCTAGACTTAAAGAAAGCTTTTGATTGTTGTGATTTAGGCATACTTTAAAAAAACTAATTCATTATGGTTTCAAAAATGTGGCCAACACCTGGTTTAAAAATTATCTTGTTAATAGAACTCAATATGTATGTATAAATAGAGTTTTTTCAATTATAACATGTGGTGTTCCTCAAGGAAGTGTTCTAAGGCCCCTGCTGTTTCTTTTTTATATAAACGATTTGCCCCTAGCAACATCTTTTTTTACCATACTCTTTGCAGATGATACTAGTTTTTTAAAGTCATCTCCTGACATTGCAAGCCTAATACTTGATGCAAACACTAAAAAAAAGCAGCAAAATTGTTTCAAGCAAATCGTTTGTACTTGAAAGGATTGGTAATGACTGTGTGAACAAATATTTCAAATTTGTTGGACTTAAACTTGACGAATTTTTAAACTGGGATTTTCAAATTGAACATATCTCGAATAAAATTGCTAGCTCAATCTTTCCTTTGTCTCAAATTAAGAATACCTGGGGGGTTATAAATCCACTGGAGGGATTCAGTTATCCTTCCTAGGGGTTTAAAATTCCACTGGAGGGATTCAGATATCCTTCCTAAGGGTTTATAATTACACTGGAGGGATTCAGATATCCTTCCTAGGGGTGTATAATTCCACTGGAGGGATAAAGATATCTTTCCAGGGGGTTTATCATTCTTGTTAACCTTCCATACTTCTCATCCGTCTTTCCCTTTAGTTTATACTAATTTTTTTTCATCCTGTTCAGCCTGGATAT